CACGATCAGCCACGCCAAGAGTGCTGACTGGTGTCCTCGCCAGGATCTTCCTAATCTGAGGTTCGAAACCTCAGAGGAGCAGGGAAAGCGAATCTTCCTCGCCACTAAGAAACACCGTAGCCGTAACTGCGTCGTTGAAACCGCTGGAAGACTGAACGCCCGTCCCGTGGCGAAAAACAGCTGGAGCCAGTGACGTTCTAAAGAGGAATCACTCCAAGCGGAGACAGCCATTATCCTGAAACGGTGCAGAACAGGCACATCTCGTTAAGATCAACAGTGCCAGAAGAATTACAGATTCCACTGCCCTAGCACAAATACTTGCTACAACCTTCTCCAATCCACCCACAGGGCTGCGGCCCATGTCCAGCATTCGGTCCGCTTCGTCAAGAACGAGGCACATGACCTCGCTCTGCGCATTGTAGGTAGGTGCAAAATCAATCCAAGCCGAACGCCATCTGATCCGCATCACCATGTCGCGAGACATCGCGAGGCGCGAAAAAGGCACGACCCACACTGCGATAGCGTACGTGCCACGAAGCTCCTGGAGCACCCGGCACCGTCCAGTCGAACCTGGCCGCCCTCCAGGAAGTCATTGAGCCGACCTGGACACCTTGCTCCGTGTTTTGTTTTCAGGCTGGGCTTCAATGAATGGCCTCGAAGTCGAAAGCCCGACAACTACCGCCATCGTCACGGAGTTGTGTTGGCAAACTCCGATCGTTCGAGTCTCGCAAGGAGTTTCGCATCTGTTTGGTCTGGGCTTGTATGCATGCGCATGGAGATGTCGCAAAAACATGACACGGATTCAAACTTGAATGCATTGTCTTGCGGGTTCGTGATCAACGAGGTGGGCTTCAGAATCAGCAGTATCATCGCAGGCTTTTAGGTAGGTGCCTCTGATATCCCTTTCTCAAATCCCCCTACTGACATCCTTAATCCTAAACTGTGCCGGTGCCGAAACTGGCTCTGAGGACAGCACGCGACGATGGTGTGGACTCCATAACGGTATCTGAGTTTCGGGATTTGCACGGGGTTGGCACGGCCTGCTAGCATATGACCAAACATGGTAACATTTCAGTGGAGCTCGAAGGATATGCTTCCACAGGTTGGTCTGTCGTCCTGAGTCAGCAGCTTTCTGATCTGGTCCTGCTTTGGCGAGCCACCATACATGGCTACCTCGGATCACTCGGGGTCCACTGAGCCTGTCCATGGAAGTCGCTACAATGAACTCCTTGTTCAATCCCTCGTCTGGGCTCCAAACGACGTTAAAGTTGATGCACTTGCCAAAGCGATCGGCCTAGCCGTGTGGTGCACAGCTTCGGCTCCATGTGAAGTTCCAGTGCCAAGTGCTGCACATCTTCGTACCCTAACGAAATGCTACACCTTCGGGGGGTGATATCCGAACTCGGACTCCCATGCACCAGCTCCACGCGATTCTCCAGCGCTGAAATCCGAAGATCTTCCGGAAAACTGCGAGGCCCTCGGCGACCTCCTGCTCGGTCTGCTGCGCCAGCTCACGCGTCGGCGACCTCGGCTGGGCCCCGAGTCTTCCGACACCTCCAAGCTCGTAGCCACATGTGACGCGTTGTGATGTGTAAATTCCACTGAGGCAGTGGCATGACAAGCAAACCCGGCCCATATCTGTCCGGGTTGTGTCCTGTCCAATGTCGGATGCCGACAGCACTCGCACAGGCGGCGATACGGCAGCCGCGTTTACAGGATTGGGTGGCAAAGGGCATGTGAATGATTTGCAAGAGAGCTGTCCTCTTCTAATCCTTGGGTGCTTGCAAGCTGCATGACACTATGGAACGCACTCGCAGATCTCCGATCTTGGAAAACAAGGCGAGTCATAAAACCTCAAACGCTAAACCCTATTTCCTAGACCCTGGCTGCCACATGCTGGAACCAACTTGTCAAACAGTCCAGATCCGCTCCATGCATCACTTTCGAAAGCTGTATCATCGTAACAAAGCCGAAGAAATGCTGTGTAAGCTGTTGGGGTTTGGCGGCGCTGCGCACCTTCCAAATCATTTTTAGTTGTTGTGACAGCCCTGCTGGATGGCTGCACAGACTGAATTCAAAACTTCCCCCCGAACTGGCTGCTGCATCAATGTGTAGATGCATCCAAGCTTCATCTCGCAGAACGCTGGCAAAAGGAATGCCAGTGTTTTGCCGCTACCTGTCACAAGGGTGCTCAGAGATTGCGGGCAGCAGCCAGTTGATTTGTCCTTGTTCCCATGCCGAACACTTTGGCGTTTCATAAGAAGCTTCCCGGCGGCCTGTGGCTGCAATGCCAATAACGTCCTGCAACAGGTCTGCAAGCATGAAAACCTTCTGCAGCTTAGCCGAAGATCCCAGACCCTCGGCCGCGGCCGCTCCTTGCCCTCCAAAGCCAGTGGCCAGGTGTAGGCCTGACCAGGGCACTGTGTATTTTGCAAAAAGCAATTCATCAGAGGTGGGATTTTTTGTCTTGCAGCTGCTCTCCCAGCCGAGGCCTGGATTTGCGAAGGCGAGGGAAAGCCGGCTCGCCTGCGTCGCTATGTAGGGAGGTCGCATTGGCCTTCCACACTAGCCTGAGCCTGCACTTGCTCGGTGTGTCATTTCGACTCTCCTGCCCACGAAAACGACAAGTCCCGCGCTTGCCTGAACTCCGCCTGGATCTCGCGAGGGAACCTGCTGGGAATAGAATTCAGGAGCGGAGGATGCACATCTCGGAGCTTACGACTCGGTGTAAGAGTATGCTAGCTGGACAAGCTTTGAATTACCGTTCTTGGGACTCCAGCTCAACCCCTCGAAGACATTCCAGGTAGCCCGAGGTAAAAATCCAGCGCCCCCCCCCAGCGACTGGGCTGCCCGGCTCTCGTACCTCCTCAAAGGACTGAACTTTCACGGGCGGCACAGACCGGTCGTCCTGAGAAAGCGGTGACTTAGGTCGGGTGCACAGGAACATGAACATGCGCAGCATGCGAGGAAGGCTGCACCACCAGGTGCGCAAAGGTTGGGGGGTCTTGTCTGAAAGGTGCACTTGAGTCCTGTTTTAGAATCGCATTGCCCTGGCACTGTGGAACAGTAGGATCCCCGGCCGGACCACGGACAGAGATCTCGCTATCGTCCACACAGTGACCGCTGCCATCACCCCGGCCTGTGGGCCAAGGATAACTTCACAAAATCTTCAAGTGGCCGGACAACCTACGCTACTATTCTTGTGCTTTTCGAATCAGATCATGGACAAACATGTCCCAAATCTTTAACTGTCGGCTCGGCTCTGCACCTGCAGCCTCACAGGCTTCTCGTATGGTCAGTCCGTTGTGGCCGTAGCCATTGCTGGACCTGCCGTTCTTCATCGCACGCACCAGGCATGAGCCCAGACCCTGAAGATCGCGGCTCTCTAGGTCCCAGAAAGGCAAAGGCAACAGAGCTGGGAGGCCGAGACCCGCACGCGTACGGCAGAGCCTTCGGACAAGCGATGGATTTGCAGCTGCAGCTGCAAATCCGGATCGTAAAGAAGCTAAATATACTGAACGGATTATCCCTGCGGGAACATCGACCGAGGCCAAGGCTGCGGAAGCGTAGGCGCCGCCGCCGTAGGAGTTGCCTTGGGCTCCAAGTAGCGTGGGCCGAGAGCATGCCACGCGAAATCCCACCTCTGAAATCTTTCCGAAGCATCTGCAATCTTCTGTGCTGGTCCGAAGGTATGAAGGGTAGTAAGCATCATCCTCAGGCTTGCACTCCAACTCCCCATCTTGCCACAGCGGCGCAAACACACACCTCCAGCTGTCAAGCAGCAGTTAGCAGCAGGCGCACAGTTCGTGCAAGCGCCCCGTGCACTCTTTCAGTTGAACTCACCACAGCAGATGCACTGTCATCGCAGCGACACCGACGCAACTACTGCAGCAACCGCAACAGCATCGGATGCATTCACTCCTTACTCCTTGAATGTGGGTGTAGACTCACACCGTGTCACACCTTGCGTCCCGCAGCCACGTCTGAGTCGCCTCACAGGACCGCGAGGGCTTGCTTATTGCTTCTCGCCAGCAGAATTTGAAGGAGGCTTTCGCTCTCTTTCGCTTTCTGCCGTCTCACAATGCCAAGGCGAGGTGCCCGCCAGTTGCCGTGCCAAACTCCGCAGGGGCTCTGGACTCAACAACGCTAGTTTGAACCAGACGTCGGCGCGTTGCAGGACTCGGCTCTTGGGGAATGCAGTCAAAATCCTTTGGATGTGCCTCGGTTCTTCGGCGGTGCGGTTGCCAGCACATGGGAGGCTGCTGAGGTGTGATACAGCTGCTTAATAAGATGGCAGCTTCATCTTCTAGCAGGCAGGATATCAGGAGTGGCGGCAAGCAATCTGGGGCGAGAGCTGTGATTTTCAACGTGCTGCGAGAAAGGCTTTATTTAGTTCGGCGATCTAAGCTGCATGTACTCAGAATGTACAACTCACTGAAATACCGGAAACAGAGGCTCAGGTCCAGCAGAACAAGCTCAAACATCTCCGCAATAGGCTGGAAGACACCCACTGCAGCCCAACTCGTGTTTTCGCAGAGGCAGGTTGCCCTCAGCCAGCGCGGCGCTTGGCCCTCACAATCCTGGCACTGGGCGACTTTTGGCTGCAATGCGGCAAAGAGCTCCGCAGCTGTGTGAAAAGTGCGCATGCTCCACAGCATGGATGGCAGCTGGCAGACCCGGTGGTCTCTACCGCAACTTTTTCCCACAGCTCAGCAGAGAAGTCACGGTGGCATGTTGCACATGTCGCAGAGCCGCATTCCCCAAGCCGCCTAGACTTTGTAAGCTTGGCCCGCGTGCACTCCACGATCCACTCGGCTGGCGTGCTGAGTTTCGCTCCAGGCTCAGTGGAATGGTGCAGGACATCATCTTCCACTGGTGACCTTGCAAGTTTACACTGCGCAGAGATTCCTTGTCAGAGCTGCCTCTCTTAGGAAACCCTACATCAGGCCCTGTCAGATGCATGCCCATCCAAGTTCCCTCCCCCATTTCCGACACGGCACTCACGGGGTCACCGTCAACCCTTTCTTGAGCGCCGCGATAGTCGCGGGCCCCGTTCGGCAGCAGCCCCCAATACCTGGACACAGAAAGCGACCCGATGGCTGAAAGACGTCGGGAAGCGACGGTCCGACAAGACCAGGACCGGCGTGTGCTTCCGCTAACCCAGATGCCAGCTGTAGAGGCGAACGAGCTGCAATTGGCGCCAAGCTTGAGCCACTTCCGCGCCAGCTCCACATACCTACCGACTGGATGTCGGACACATGTCGACGGGCGTTTCGTGCTTCCAGCAAACGCAAGGATGGCCCGAATCCGTCAAGGGACTGTTCGTCAGCTGTGGCTGAGCCCGTCTCCCAGGTATGAGTTGTACCATTCCTCGGATGTCTGGACATAGACTTCGGAGTTTGGGGATGAGGGCAAACATGTTCCAGGACTTGGACGAGAGATAAACTCAATGTCCAACTGACAAGAAGCCAATCTTTCAAAAAGATAGAGACATGGCAGATGCTGCTACTGTACAGCCCCACGCCCACCTGGCAGAGAACTCCTTGCGACGCATCCTACTGATGACTACAGGCTGGCTTCTCTACTGGCTCCAGGGTTGACACGAGGGTTCTCCATCTGGACTGAAGGCAAAGACTCCAAACCTCGCCGGCATTGGGGTACACGACCACACCTGTCATGATCAGTCTTCCCCTCTTGCTTCCAGCAGGGGACGTATCAGTGCAGTTTCGGCCAGCACAAACTGTCATCCTACTCAAGCAGAAATTCTTGATGAGAATGCGGAGCTTCTGACAACGAAGCTTCTCAACAAGCTTTGCACATAACATCTGGACTGCATGTAGCAGCTGGAAGGAAAACCATGAACACAAAAAGTGGAGGATACATCCTGCAGGCAGTGTTGGCAAATCAGCCACCGTGAATCCTGCACCCATCTTTCGTGGCTTATTGTCCGCGAAACAGGCATGGGCATGGGTCTAGGTACAGACACGTGCGCATCTCCTTAGGTTCGGCCCGCCCCCTGCGAGCTTGATCCGTTGAAACGACACTCCAAACTCCATCTCTGCCGAAGGCCACCAAAGCCAAAAATCTCGGCGCTTCGCATCCCTTTGCTCTGTTAGTTGCCGTGGAAGCAGCTCTTTTCGGCGGGCAACGATTCCCGGCAGATTTGGACGAGGCCGGCGACGAAGTCGGGATGCGTGCAGTTCACGCCTGCTCCTGGGTTCGGAGGGTGGCGCTATGCCAGGCCGGGCCCGGATTGCTTAACGGCTTAACCCCAATGCCAACACAGAAAGATGTGTATTTCCTCAACAAGATTGATGCGAGTTAAACCCTCCGCTCGTAGTAGCCGCAGTGGCCGCAGTACCGGTTCCCTCATGTCCACGCTCATACGCAACGACTTCCGCAAGACGCTACGACTTAGGTCAACCCCCTGTACAGCACGAAACCGACAGGCCGGCTTCTGCAACATATCGGAACCAAGGCTCCAACCACCCAGTCGCATTTAGCCACCGCAGCGATGCAGTCTGCGAAGACATCGCCCGAGCAGACTTCAGTGTCGGATTTGCAGGAGAAGGTGACCCAACCAGGATGCTCCAACTCCTCACGAGCCGTGAGCAGTTCATGCAGAGATTAGAAACGCATGGGATGGAAGCGAGGAGGAACGAGCGTTGAAGCAAAAATCTCAGACAAGCACGGGTGCTGCCACACCCGGGAAAAAGCTACCCTCGAAGTGACAAGGAAGACGAAGAATGCCTCCAAGCCACGTTCAGCAGGCGAACAAGAGCTCGGGCTTCCAAAAGGCTGGGCCTCGGTTTTGGCAAGCGCCCTCATCCGGATTACAAGACGTGGGTGTCCTGGATAGTTCACTCTCGTCACTGCCTCCCTGTGAGCCTTTCGGGGCCATGTCAGGCTTGTATTGGATGAACAGGGAGTTGGGGGTCAGGTTCGTTGTTCGGCTACCCAACACATCCATTCCTTTTAAACAGACTGCACCAGACCCGAAGACGGCCTTCTGCCTCTTCCCATCTGATCCCATCTACAGCTTCAATGGCGGCTTCACCGGCAGCCAAGGCTGCGGCAGCATGCAGCACTGAGCCGAGGCACGACCCGAAACGCTACCTGGTACAATCTTCCCTTCGCCATGAATCCGGTGCAACTCACATCCACGACGGCAACTGCAGAGTCTTCAATAGCAGACTATCTGACCACTCATGAGCAGGCTACATGAGTGGCAAGTCCAGCAAGACCATGGAGGAGCTTAGAGCAGCCAGAAGGATTCCAGTGCAAACGGACCCCGAAACCATCTTCAACAAAGGCACACCGTCTCGCATGCGAGGATGTCAGCACCTGCTTCGACCAAAGCCTCAATTCGAGAAGTCTACCTGTCCTGAATTACAGTTCTCAATGTCCTATCATTGTACAGATTTCCAAGTGCACGGTCGCTTTAACAATGCTATTCGCTGTCCATGGCTCCAGATTTAGCACTTCTTTGATCTGTGCCGCATAGTCACAAGTCGACAACTCCCCCATCACCCTATCAAGTGCGACGTTGGAGTTCCCCTACTTACTCCCCTTGATTCCCTGACCCCAACCGCCTTGGCTCGGGGCCGGTGCCAGGCAAGCAGACTCGTTTCATCCATCCCTGTTTCCAGTTGAGACACGGTGAGCGTATTGTCCCTTTCTAGTAGATCCCTACCGGCGCTACCATGCCTGTGGTTTCGGGGCTACTAGAAGCCTGCACTTGCCCATGTGTGACCGCCGCAGCAGAAGATAGCAGAAGAGGAGGAGCAAGAAGAACTTGTAAAGAGCCTGGAAAGTCGCCGGTGTACTCGGCGCCGTTGTGCAGCCTGAGGTGCAACATTTTGCGCAAAAGTCCTTGAAGCCTTGAAGGATCGCCTTGGGTCCTGGAACCCAGCAAAAGTGGCTTTTCTGGGACCTCGGCGAGGCGCCGTAGCTCCCCACGCTGCCTGCTACCAGTGCCCCCGGAGGCGCCGTCTCACCTCGGGCATCCAGCTCTCTAGAAGACTCTAGCTTAGGGCTTAGTCCGGCTTAGTCCGGCTTAGTCCGGCTTAGTCCGGCTTAGTGGCTTAGTGCTTACCCTGCCCAAGATGCCTTCCCTGCGGAAGACAGTCCAAGTTCTCGGATTTGGGCCTGATTTGGTGTGCTTGCAAGACGAGCCTTTAGGGAAATGAAGCTCGTGCACCCCAATTGCCAATCTAACTAACTGGCGGCCCAGTCTCGCGCTAAGTCGACAGAGCGTTTCACTGCCTTGAGCGCCTGCTGCAAGGGAACACTGGTGCCAGCACGGAAGGCATGTCCACAAAGAAGGAACCCGTGCAGCACCGCAGCTGTAGCCTGCCCATTGAAGCCCAACAAGCCTCCTCCTCGTCCATCTCGAGCTCGCGAAAGCCATCGAAGTGCGCCTGCACTCTTCTTACAAAAGAAGTTCGGCTCGGCATGGCTCGGCCACAATGCACTCGTGGGCCGAGCCTGGTAGGAAGCAGTGATGGCCACCGCGGCGCCTTCTGCAGCAAAGTTCTGTACCCGGACATGACCATTGGAGACAACATCACTCCCCAAGCCAATGCCAGTCCCTTGCTGCATCACGGATGTCAATGCAAGAAAGGCTTGGGCCCTAAGCCTTCAGGCTCCTGCAAACCTGTCTGCTGTGTCTCAGTTTTCAAGTTGCACTTCTGAGTGAGGCCGGTGCCAGCATCATAGTAGTCTCTGTGCGCCTGTTTGATGACCTCGCGTGAGCAGGGGTCATCTTCATCGGTGCTCCTACAAACACGAACACAGAACACACAAAACAAACTAGAGCGCGAAGAACAAAGGCTTCAGCACAAGCAAGCAAAACGAAAAAGGGCGAAATGCCAGATTCATTTTGTTTCATCCGTTTCTACAACATGTGACAGTACGGCTCTCCCGCATCTCCGCATGTGTAAAGTTATCGGACAAAATGGACAGACTGCGAGAGAGAGAGAGAGAGAGAGAGAGAGAGAGAGAGAGAGAGAGTATATATATGCAGAGCTGTTCATTGGTACTGTATTTCATGGCGCTTTGTGCCTGAACGGGGCCGTGACCCTGGCTTAGGAAAGGGCTACTCTCCGAGGATCTTGCCGTCGGGTTCTTCACCAGGCAGGAAGCAGACCAAAGGGAGTGGTCGATGCTTTCGCCAAGCCTCGGCACAGCAGCGACTGAAGCACGTCTCGTCCATGTGAAGCCAAGTACAGGCCAGGCGACGCCTCGACATGCGTAGCAAGACCACCTGGGAATCGAGGAGGCTTCGAACCTTCACTGCCTTGACATGCCTTCCGGCGTCGTGACTTTTGCAGGCAACCGCCTTTGTCCCACAAAACAACCCAATGCAGAATGGCTTCCAATCTGTAAATCTGCGGTACCTGGAACCAGCTACCCGTGAAAGAGAGCAGTTTCCACGTTCCTTCCTGAACAAGACGTTGCCATCCAAGGGGCCATCGAGTATGAGCACTCGGCTCTTGCCGCGACAGGTGGCGAGTGGGTCTTTCAACGATTTCCGTGCCCGTTTCCAATCCGGTGCAGGCTCCGGAGGCGGCGGAGTCTCTGCCATGGCAACTGCAGCTCTGACGTACTATTTCATGAAACTTCTTGCTCAGCGGCAAACTTGGTAGAACTGGAAATACTAAACATCACAGCAGCGTGCTCACTGCTGTCACGAAATGGGCCGGCTTTGTTTGGCTTTCACTCTCCTCCTCCGGGACGGCTCTCGACAGGCGGGGGTGCAGCCAGCGATTGGGATCACTTCAAAAGAAACACCGAGTCCGGGAAGCATCGAGAAGCGCCTGCGCCCCGGCGGTGGACCGCTGGGGTTGGGCTGCGCCTCAAAAGCACATGACCGCAGCCGTGGCGAAAGCGCTCGACTACAGAGTACAACTACACACTCTTCCGAGTTTTTGGGTGCCCTGCGAAGAGGTTTCCGCCGGCAGCCTGTCGGAAGGCTGCAAGGCCCTTTACAACATGCACGAAGACTGTGAACTGGCAGCATCAAGACATCCCTGCCGATCCCTTCCAAACCTAACCAACTGAAGATATCCGGAGCCTGTGGAGAAGGGCCGAATCCACCTGCACCTGCGCCGATGACGCCGTGGCAGTTGCAACCGCAAGGATGCAAATGTGGGTGTGAGAGTGGCTTAAAGTTGAAGTTGTAGCGAGGTCGGACTGTCTCCACCCACCAAGACCGAACTGAGAGGTGCGGACTCAGCAGGAAGGCTCTGCCATGGTGACCCTGTCCGGAAAGACCTGGAATCGCCCTGGAACACCAAAACAGCAATTTCTTCGCAGGCAGCATTTCGTTTGGGGCCCCGGAGCCTGGAGCTGGTCCGAAACCGCCGAAGGCACCTGCTGCCGCCTTGGGTTGCTTTGCTCCTTCGGGTGGATTCGTTTGCCAACACATCCTTGGATGTCACAACTTTTCACCTGAGATACTGCTGGCAAACATGCAGAAATCTGAAAACTGCTTGCCTGGTGGTGGCATCATCTCGCAAGCAAGACCGTGTCTACACTGTACCGACGGTTCCAACATCTTGCCACACGTTTGCAAACAGAAGGCAGGATCTGCCTCTCAGAGTTTAAAGAAGTCCCCCTGAATAGCCAACGGCTAGAGTTCCCCCGAGGCTCTGGCCGCAGGTTGGCCAAACCCTGCACAGGGTTTCTCTGAAGGTATGTGAGGTATGTGGGTGTTTGGGCATCCGGCTCCAACACCTCCTAAGTCCCAGCCTGCACCGGGTGGTGGAAAGCCTTGCGGAGCACCTGGGCTTCATGGCACTGCGCTGCACTCAACATCAGCTTCGGTACAACTGGTGCCGTCTTGGGGTGAGGTCCAGTTGCCAATCTTCGACACCTCAGAAGCTGAAAGTCCCTGCACAGACCTGTAACTCTTGCCAAGCTGTCGAGTCTTGCGCCCAGTCAGAAACCATCTCCAATAAACGCAGCAAGTGCAACCTTCCACCAGCTTGGCCCCGGGGCCACCACCACCAAAAGGTGAGCCACCAAAACCAGCATTTGGACCTGTTGAGCCCCTTGCTTATTTACAAAGAGCGCGACCCATTGACGAACGCAAAAAGCCTGCAGCTGGCTGTCCAAACATGTCCGCAGATCCTCCAGATGGGAAAGCTCTGCACAGCGATCCTGGATAAAATAGGTTCCCTGTGCCTTGCGACTGTGCCGGGCCCTGGCCGAACATGAACGCGTTACCACCTAGCAAACAAGTCGCGATCGCTCTCAAGTCTTGAGCTTCGGGGCTTTTGTGGGCTCTGCTTCCACTCTGATCGAGGATGCAATCGTCTTCTGGCAGACGTCTGTTTTCTGCAAATTGAGGCGGTGTGAAAGGAGCGTCGTTGGGGCGCAGGCCACCAGGGCTCGGCTGCGGCTGCGGCTGACCGAAAATGGACCCTCCTGAAACTTCCACGCGGCTCCCAGGATCCGAGGCAGCGAACACAAATGCCTCCTCCCCCACAGGGTGCGCTCTGCGGTGCCGGTGTCGGCGCCCCGAACTGGAACATGCCGCCCGCGGAGGCGGCACCTCTTCACAAACAACACTGCAGAGTCGCAGAGTCCGCACAGCACCTAGCTGCACGGCGGAGCGCTGTCCTGGAGCAGGTGCTCCGAAGATGTTGCTACCTCCTGTCCGCTGCGAGATAAATCGAGATAACATGAGGCTGTGCACCGCTAGCTTCTAGGTTCATGTAACGAAGGAAGGCGAAAGCATGCGAAAGCTGTGGCCACCAATGAACTATCCAGATGGCAACTTGTCACAATGTTTGAGGGGTGAATCTCTCTTCTCGACTCTCCAGCTGGGTGTTTATGCCCCCGCCAGCACATACCTGCCTGCACCGGAGGATTGGCCGAAAACACCTCCGCCACCTCCTTCCAACTGCTGCTTTGATTTGTCTGCTCTCTGCCTTTTAGGTGCAAAGCTCTAAACTTGCTTTAGGCTCTGGCTTCTCTAGCTCTAGCCTCCAGCCTCCAGCTAGACTCTAGCTGAATGTCCTCCGGATGCGATGAAGGCCCCGGCACCGCCAGCACCACTCCCGAAGATGTTGCCACCAGCTTGGCCAAAGAGGTTCCCGGCCCCCGCAGAGCTGGCGGCACTCTGGGCTGGGCTGAAGATCCCACCAGTCGTCCCACCGAAGATGCTGCCTCCCTGGGAGCCGGCACTGGCGCCAAAGAGGCCTCCTGCTGAAGCTGCCGGCTGGGCCGGCTGCGCAGGCTGGGCCGGTTGGGCTGGCTGGCCGAAGATATTGGCTCCTGCGCTCGGAGCTCCAAAAATACCTCCCGCACTGGCCGCTGGTGCACCAAATAGGCCAGGACCAGTCGATGTGCTGCCCGTCGGTGCTGAGAAGATGCCTGGGCCACTTCCTGAAGCACCACCGAAGATGCTGCCAGAACTCGTGCTCGTGGCGGGCTGGGCTGCACCGAAAATGCCGCCTGAGCTTGCTGTCTGGACTGCACCGAAGATACTGCCTGAACTTGGGCTGCCTGTCGGCGGGGTCGGGGTTGCACCGAACAGGCTTCCGGAATCTGGACTGCTTGCCGGTTGTGAGCCGAAGATGCTGCCAGAACTCGGGGTGGTAGTTGCTTGAAGTGCACCGAACATGCTGCCGGAGCTTTGAGAGCCCGCTGGCTGCGTTGAAGCACTTGGCGGCGCTGCGCCGAAAATGCTGCTGCTTGAAGTGTCGGCTGGAGCTCCGAAGATGCTGCCTGTGCTGGGACTGCTTGCTGGCTGGGTGGCACCGAATATACCACTTGAACTTCCAGAACTTCCAGGTTCAGAGCCAAAGATGCTGCCACCAGAACTCGCAGCACTAAAGATATTGCCAATTGATCCTGATGTGGCACCAAAGATATTGGAGCTTGAACTCGGCGCACTCTGCGAGCTTTGCGAGATGCTTGCAAGAGCATTTCCTGTTGCTGCTTCGGCTCCGAATATACTCGCACCTGAAACTGCAATGCGTGTTGTTTGACAGTGACCCCAAGCTACAGAAGACTACATAACGACTTTGCAAATACTTTGCAACTACACGGTCACTACACGTGGCCTCCACTGGAAGCGACGCCAGCGCTCGAACTTGCTGGCGGCACCTGCGCTGCGGGGGGCGCTGCCCCGAACTGAAAGATGCTGGTGGCCGAAGTCGCCGCCGCCGCGGGTGCCGAGAGTGCCGATGATGCTGAGGCTGCGCCAGAAGAACTGGCACCGCCGTCGAAGATGCTGGTCGGTGGTGCCGTTGAAGCAGCGCTGCTCGTGCTAGCACCGAACATAAAGATCCCGCCTGAGCTCGGCAGCGCCACCTCTGTCATGGAGCCGCTGGCGCCTCCGAAAATGCTTCCGGAGCTGCTGGGGGCTGAATCGAAGATGTTGGCTGCAGGCTTCGGAAGCCCATCGGAAGCTGGTTTCGCAGCGCTGAAAAGACCTTCGGTCAGTGTGTGACACAGTCTTCGAACTCCAAACCCTCCAAGCAAAAAGACTTTCCGACACACAGTGTACATCTTCTGCGACATGGATCGGAGCTAGTGGGCCGAATGGCTTGGCGAGCTGTTGTCGCACGTCCATCCAAAACAGGCCCTTTGAGTGTCACAGGTGCTTCTGTCTACTAGCCGTTTGAAATTTTTCCATGACATGGAAATGCGAGCTGTTGTCGCACGTCCTGACAAATAGACAAACGGGCAAAAACATGCACGTGGGAGTTTAAAACTTTAGTACTCGTGGACACAAAGACACACGGACACAGATCAACGCTCGCGCACACGTGTCCAGGCCGTGCACCAAATTCCCAGACGCCACTCAGAAGTCCAAGTCTTCGGCCTGGCTTTGATCCAAGCAAGCTTCGGCGGCGTCGCCATTCGCATTCTGACCCATGAGATTGCATCCTCCTTGCCGTCTCCATCAGCAGTACCAGTATCATTTACACCATCCTCATTGAATCCTCATCCTGGTCGTCGCAGTGCCCATCAGAGTCAAAGACCTGCTTACCGGCATCGAACACGAACACCATGCTGCAGTTTACGAGCTTATGAAATAGAAGCAAGGCTCCGAAAGGATTGGGCTCTGTCGGGAAATCTCTTGGAAAAATTACGGTATGCTGCAGGTCGAAGATTGAGAGCTGCTCAGCGGTGGTTCGTCAAGTAGTTGAAGGTCCACCCGGAATGCACATAGCTACATGCGAGCTTGTTGCGCCGCTCCTGAACCCCAGACCCGAAAGACCTCCAAAAATCCAAGTTCTGCCTCCTTCGGAGCTTCTTTTGGAGCCTCTTTTGGTGCCTCCTTGCCCTCGCGGCTGCGGCTCGCCTGTTCCAGACTCCGGATTTTTTTGGCACGTCGTTTTTGAATACGGGGCTGTAACTGCGCCTACTGTTGCCTACACATTGACATATTGATTCTTTAGTCTTGGAGTTGGGGGGTGGGGGGCGGGGCATGACGTCCGGCTTGTGCAGATCGTTGCATGCTGTGATGGTCATGTGGTCTTCATGATGGTGGCGGTCATGGTGCCACGCTCCTTGAATCTGGTAGGTAGTCTTGATGGTGATAGCTGCACATTTTCATCATATGCGATTACCTGCGTGGAACCCTGTCAGCGCGTGGAAACTTCGGCAAGCTAAGCAATGCTACTTTGAGTTTACAACTTCCCGTTAAAGAGCCTCTCAAGGCCGCAACCGCGACTAGCGCGTTCAAAACTCAGAGCGTTAAGCGTTTCCAGCGCATTCGCGGTACGTACCCAAGCGCCTACGCTTCTGCACTTATCTGTGGCCCTCAGATGTAGTATATTGCCATCACCAGCTCACATCCCTGGCTCTTCAATCAGGGACACGGGCCGGAGGCTTTTTGAGAACCATCGCCTCCAGCGCCCGCGACCTGAATCGTATTTAGGGCTGTCAACATGGAAGCTAATAAACTATGGAAAGACTTCTTGAAAAAATGTAAACTGCTGTGAAAGAAAGATCCAGACACTTCCATAATAACTTCGTTTCTTGGTGGTCGTGGTGGTCGTGGTGGTCGTGGTGGTCGTGGTGGTCGTGGTGGTCGTGGTGGTAGCAGTGGCTGGTCCGAAGGACCACATTCCGTCCTCGAATGTAGCCAACTGTCCCACCTGATATCCTGGCAGCAAGAATGAACCATCAATGTTCCTGGGTTGCTCTTGGACCCTGCACGGAAGGACGATCTGGGATTATGCAGGTTGCAACCTTGATGATCTGCTTAACTGCATGGAAAAACCTTCCAAGAACAGCCTAGCTTCACATTGTTCCGAGTGATGATGGCCGTCTTGCCTTCTGCCAGTCGAGTGGCGAACTCTCCGGCTCTTTGAAAGTCGCATGTTCTGCCTGTGAAGGTAGCTTCGAACGCCGCCTTGTTTCGGCACCACACCTGGCATCCTCCGATAATGAGGCCATTGTGAAGTAAGATGGTTGGTGGGAAGCCAACCAAAGCGGAGAAGCCAGCAGCTTGCTCGTTGCAAAAGTAGAAGTAGTCCAGCTCGGGGTGTCAATGAAGCTAGCAACTTCCAGAATGTTGAGGTCGTAGAAATTCCCTCGGAGGCTCAAGAGCGAAGGCTCGCGTTGCGCATCGAGTTCAAGCTCCCCGGTTTCTGCGTCCCCGCAATCCTGTGGATAATTCTTGCAGTACTCTTGGATTACCTCATCTGGGAAGATCCTTAGTTTGGAAATGCCCGGTGCTACGGCGACATAATCAAGAAAATCAAGAAGCTTCTCTCACTGATCCCAAACAAAACTTACTCGGCGGCAAGATGTCTGGACAGTTTCGTTTGCAGCTTTTTGGAGCTTCTGGAGCAGACAGCTATCGTCGCCCAAGCCATTGGCTTCCACTTTTGCTGAGAGCACACCGCATACACCTGCACACATACACGCGCAGAAGTAGCTGAGGCTCGACCTTTTCAGGATCATGCCGTTGGCCGCGCCGCGCGCAATCCAAACTCACACTAGCTGAAGTTGAGCCCAAAACTTGCTGCGATTCAGGTCCAGCTTTAGCTTTAGATTTCTGCACTATCCATTTGGTACAGGAATGCGCGAGGCGGACAGCCCATCGGGCAATGCTCGGCCTGAAAGGTCCGTTCCTGTGGAGCTGGAGCTGGGTGCACTATCGAAGAGGCTGGTTCCTGCTCGGATTGACAGCACTCGGAGATAGAAGGCTGCGATTGGAGATTACATCCTGCCTGCAAAAACCCCTCCAGACGAAGCACCGCCTGTGGCACCAAAGATCCCTCCTGTGGAAGAAGCACCTCCAGGGGGAGCGGCATTGTGCACAAGCGATGGAACGATGTCGTCAGAGACAGATCAGATCCACCAAACCGACTCTCGTACTATCTCGTACTAGCAGCGCCATGCTTGCCTTCGCACTTGGATGTCTCCTTGGCCTGCAGAAGCCAACTGCTGTACAACCCGGGCAAGGGTGTCCTCATCTCTGAACAGTCTTCACAGGAATGGATGCGGGACCTCATCGTCGTCGAAGGCGTTGTCCTTGAAGCATGCTCCATCCTGCGGGATCCAGAATAATCCATGCTACTTGAGATACGGATGCTGCCAGGGCTCACTTCCTTACGGTCTCAAAGGCCGCTGGCACAGCCACACAGAACTTTACCTCTACCTTCATTCAGGCAAGCAACTGAACACATCCCATGTCGATAAAGCAAGAGAAGCAGACAGCATATGACAGCATTACCAGTAGTTCTGGTGGTTCGATACATTGACATGAACATGTCGAGCAATTGAATCAGCCCGGATCTCTCATCTGGTGTGGCTCCTCGTCCGCATTGTCATCCTCCTCTCCACGAGTGGCCCACATCACCTGCACGCATGAGGCCGTGGCTCACGTAGCTTTCACGGTTTCGGGATGTGAAGACATTCCTGGAGCACAGTCAGCTTCGATGAGCTCCAGTTCAGGAGACATGATACACCCTAACGGCCCTAGCACTAGCACTAAATGCTGCGATTCCTACCATCAAATATTTGAGGTTCCGGCATTCACGAGACATGACGTGCACTTGCCTTGGGGTCCAACTCATAGGTGCGGCACACCTCGAAACAGCTGCCCCACTAGGCAACACAAAGTTGTGCATGCTGCGAACATTCTTGGATGCTCTATGGTCGGAAAGCCCCGGCCTTGGCGTACAAATGTGCGAGTGGGGTTCCATTTGCCTGACTCTTAGCAAAAAAGCTCGACTACCCATCGTGCCTTTGATGACATCTCGCTTTCGCGCAAGAAGCTGTTTTGGATGTGTAGCGGCAGGCGGCGAAATGCAACCGGTCTCGGCCATCGAATCGAAAACGTCTCCGACGCGATCGATGCGAGGCGGTGCTTATCACCATAGGTGTGCCGCCTGCACCATTAAAGCGCACCGGTAGCCCTAAACCGTTCAGAGCCCATCAGTAGCCCTTCGAAAACTGCGTCCCAGTCGT